GTATGTTAGTATTTTGCTGGGGATTTTTACATCTATATTCATTGGGGATATTGGCCTGTAATTATCCTTTCCTGTAGTGTTCTTACCTGGCTTTGGTATGAGGATAATACTGACTTCATAAAATGATTTTTGGAGTATTCCCCCCTCTTCAGTTTGAGAGGGATTCTTTATTTAAATGTTTAAAGAAATTCACTAGTAAAGCCTTCTGGTCCTGGACTTTTCTTTTTTATGATATTCTTCATTATTGATTCATTCTCTTTTCTCATATTAGTCTATTGTCATTTTCTTTTTCCCCTTAATTTGTTGTTAGTAGGTTGCATGTTTTTAGGGATTTATTTCTTATAAATTACCCAATTTGGGGTTTATAAGTGTTCACAGAGGTCTCATAATCCTTTGTGTTTCTGGAATACCAGCTGTACTGTCTCCTCTTTCTTTTGTCATTTCATTTATTATGTCTAAGTATTCTAAGGTATACCAAATGACAAGGAGTAAATCTTTTAAAAAATTAAAGAAATATGTCATGAATAAATTAATTATTCATGTTCCAAAATTGAAGTCAGGACTTCTGATTAAAGCAGTTTTAGAACATGTTTTCTTGGTATTCCAGGGAGATTCTGGTGGACCATTAGTGTGTAAGCATGAAAAAGGTCCTTTTGTTCTCTATGGCATTGTCAGCTGGGGAGCTGGCTGCAGCCAACCAAGGAAGCCAGGTGTGTTTGCCAGAGTGAGTGTCTTCCTGGACTGGATTCAATCCAAAATCAAAGGTAAATAGTTTCATATATTATAAAAAGTTTCTTCTGTTTTTAGAGTGGGCTTGGGAGAGGTGAGAGTGATAGAAACGGCGTTAGAAAAGACAATAACATAGTATTTTATTTTTTTAGTTTCTAAATATATTAAAAATATACATTAAAATTCTATAAGAATAACTTCTTCCTTAGGCAATGTTATGGTAAAATTGACTTTTCCTGAGGCTGCTTTAATCCTAGATTTGCATTCTCTTTTGAAAATCTCTGATCTGGGACAGACTACATTTTGTCCTTAGGCTTTCATCTTTATTTACTTTTAACATGTCTCCCCAGATGCAGGACCTGTTTTACTCCAGATAAAAAATGAAAGCAAAATCTTAACAAGACAACAGTCGCCACCACCCACACCCTCAAGAGANGTAAACTCTGAGAGTCGGTGATGGACAGGAAGGCCTGGCATGCTGCAGTCCATGAGGTCGCAAAGAGTCAGACACGACTGAGCAATTGAACTGAACTGAACTGAAAAGCACCTAGAGATTTAGAAGTCTATGAAAGATTTATAAGAAGATAAAAGTTCCATGATACCGTCATTCTTGGTTTCCAAATGGTCAGGGTCTTTCCCTTTTCACCCATCTCTGCTTCATCCACTCCTACATACACTCAAGTCCAGGAGACAATGAGGAAGAGTTGGAGAAAAACTTAAGAGGAGTCCAGAGAGAAGAACAAGACTTGCTAGAGTGATAACTTTCAGTAGAAGAAAATGGGTGAGATCTATTGTCCAGGTGGAAGGATTGGTCTTGGGCAGGAGCAAAGTGCAGTTCATCCATTGTTGCCAAATGGAAAGCAGAATATTTAGGCATGGGTGCTCTTGTGTGGGTACATGTAGGAATGAGAGCTTCTGGCAGTTCTCTAATTGCTTATTTCCTCAGCAGGTTAAACAGAGGATTGTAGAAAAGAGTTTGAGAGTTTTGAGAGAAAAAAAGAGAAAGTATTAAATAGCTTTTGAATAACTATCAGGGAAGCCCTATGGACCAGAAAAATGTAGTAGAATTTTTTGGCAGCATAAAAGCCTCTGAGATTAATGATCATAAATTTAGAGGAAGACTAATCAGTTGGTCCGGTTGTCCCCCTCTGGAGACACTGAGGTGTACCACATAGAGGCAGCACAGGTGCAGAGAAGATTCAATCACAGTGGGTATTTCCAAGCATATAAGAGTATAAGGGAATTGAGAGTGTATATGTGAGGAAGGGATTAAAATGATACATGGTTGGAATTTAAGCTGGAGGAAAGAGTAAAACAAGGAAGAATGATAAGTTGAAAAATAAGAAAAGGTGGTGGGATAGATGAATTACAAGTCTCAAAAGGTATGTTGGTGTAAGCTGAAAAACAGAGGGTTGTGGTTGGAGATGGTGGTTCTTGAAACTGAGTTTATACAAGGCTTGTAATTACTGCTAATGACCAGGTCGGTAGGGGCTGATCATTGGGATGAGTGAATGAGGTCAGGTGAAGGATAGGATTATTGGAGGCAAGTTGAGAATTGAGAAGCTTCAGTGCTAGAGTCATCATGTATGTGCCTATTGAAATCAGCAAGATATAAGACAAGAATAATGTTGGAGAAAATGACTGCTAAAATCTTCTAGGAATGAAGTGGAGTAACTCAGGGACCTGTTACCTTACGGGTGGTGTGTTCTGACATCACAAGTGTCAGGAGTCAAAACTAGAGTCAAAGAGTCACATTTAGATTAAAATTAAATATGGAATTGGGTTTGGGATGGAGAGCAGACTTTAAGATCATAAAACCTAATGATTTTGATGATTTAACAATTTTAATGAGTGCTGAAAGACGTAATATATGCTAAGCCCTTAGAATAGGGATGGTATGACCTATAAAAAGAGTCAATAAGTGTGGGAGTGGTGATAGTGACCATCAAATGTATTCTTTGTTCTGTCTCATTCAGACTGTTAGAAAGTGGGGACTTCCCTGGTGGTCCAGTGATTAAGACTCTGTGCTTCCAATGCAGGAGGTGCGGGTTCAATCCTTGGTCCAGGAGCTAAGATGCCACATGCCATGCGGCGTGTCCATGCAAAACAAAACAGTCAATTAGAAAATGAACATTGTTAAAATGTAGAGAAGATATTGCTCATTTGCATGTGTTCAGAAATAATTATGCATACCAAAGAACTTTGAAAGCTTTACATATAAAAGGGTATTATTTTGTTCTACTTCTTTGAATATTCTGTGAGAGAAAGTATTAGGACTCTGCCATCTTTAACACCCACCCACTCCCACCACTTGCTTTTCGCACAAGGGAATAAATGAATCTTAGCAATGGTTTTTGGAAATTGTTACCCTATTTATAAAGAATAGTGATTGCTTGGGAATTCATGACTTTATATGATTCAGTTCCTTTTCCAGGCAGATTTATAGTGGAGGATTCACATAGAGAGGAAAAAAGATTGCAAAGACACGTTGGGACTAGACTCTGAAAGACCTTGCAAGCCACTGTAGTTGGCTTTGAGCAAGCGAGAAAAGAGCTTAATTCTTCTGTTTCGTCATTCTCTGATTGAAGGACATGGTGGGGGAAGATTAGAGACTGAAAAATCAGTTAGATTACTATAACATCCAAGTAGACCTAAGAAATAACCTAAGTTAGACCATAATAGCCATGTAAATGAAAAAGAGAAAAATTCACAGAAATAACAGAAAACCAAGCAATTGAATAGAATCCTGAATTCTTGGAATATTTCCTTTCATCTCTGCCACTTATTTCTATTGTTCAGTAAAGTGTATTAACATATGGGTCTCCTCAGTTGGAATGGTATTTCTCTATGGCAGTGCATGTATATATTGCTGCAAAGGACCATACCGGAGAAGAGACTACCCTCTGAGGTGTAGGCCCCAGGGGTTGGACTCTTAAGACAATCTGGACTGAAGGGGTGGCAGACTGGTTGGTCTACAGGTTACAATTCTCGCCTCTGGCGCAAGAGGTCCCAGGTTCAGATCCCAGACACGCCCCCCAAGATGATAGCTTACAGTGAATGCTGTCGGATTCATGATCTCCAAAGATTTAACTTCGGGACCAGGGACCAGGCTTGATGACTCAGGAGCTTTTGTAGAGCAGAGTTTTATTAAAGTTTTAAAAGGGACAGAGAAAGCTTCTGACATAGACAATCTGAAGATGCCCAGGGATCCCCACACAAGCTCCCATCCTAATTACACCTGAGGAACCCCAGGTATTAATAACAGGGGAGGGCCAATCAGTTGACTTCTTTTGGACACTGGGGCAACTTTCTCTGTGCTCACTGAAGCCCCTGGTCTGCTTTCCTCCTGATTCACTACTGTAATGGGACTGTCTGGATGAGCCAAACATTGTTATGTCAGTCATCCTTTAAGTGGCAACTTTCTCTGTGCTGTTTTCTCACAAGTTTCTAATCGTGCCAGAGTCTCCCTCACCCCTTCTGGGGAGGGATATATTAAACAAGGTCCAGGTCTCTGTTTTCATGAATATGGAGCCAGCTCTTTTTAATTGGAACAAACTATATATCCTGAAGTGTGGGCTGATGAAAAAAACTGTGTGCTGAGGACAAAATGCTGTTCCTGTCCTTATCAAACTCAAAGACCCTCACCTATTTCCACATCAAAAGCAGTACCCCCTAAAGCCTGAGGTTAAGGAAGGGTTAAAACCCATCATTGAGAATTTAAAGGAGTAGGGGCTATTAATTCCCTGTAACAGTCCATGCAACACTCCTATTTTGGGTGTGAAAAAGTTAAATGATAAATGAAGGCTAGTTCAAGATTTACAAGTAATAAATGAGGCTGTGGTTCCTTTTACTCATATGCCAAAAACAAATGGATTTTCTTGCTTACAGGCCTGGGTAGACACTTTTACTGGATATGTAGCTCTTACCTATGGGTGTGGCTTGCCATTGGCTGGATAGGGAGATGCACCCTAGGTCTAGCTTTTACTCTTGGCTTCATATTTTCAGAGCTTCCAGAGAAGCCTACTAATCTGCCACACCTTAAAACTCATTGGGCAAGATCTGTATTTCACTGGTATGATTATCTGGCTACAATATTCGTTCCTTCTCTGGGAACTAAAGATCATATGTTATGCTATGAGTTGATGCTCTGACTAATTTTCAGCCCCTAGTGCTGAACAAATACAAATTAGAAAGGTGGTTTTACAAATCAGATTGGCCTTAGATATTCTAATGACTGCACAAGGAGGAACTTGTGCCGTTATTCATACCCAATGTTGTACGTATATACCAGAGGTGAGCAGTAATGTTACTCACTTTACTAAACACATGAACAAGATAATTCAGGCTATGGATTCTCTTAAAGCCTCAGTCACCTCACTTTGGGAAACTTTAACTAGCTCCCCATGGTGGAAAACTATCTTAATTGTTAATGATTCTAATTGTTCTGTTTTTACTGTCTGCTCCCTGCATATGTACTTGTGTAAGTGGATTTGTTTTTAACCATTTGAAAGCTTTTAAGTTACAAATGGTTGTTCAGGCTCCTACCAGGGCCACAGACTCCTCCAGCTATTATCTGGGGCCCCTGGATTAGAGACCCTCAATATAAGGGTTAGGAGAATATGTTACCTCAACAATTTAGGGACCACACCCCTCAAGAGCAGGAAGTAGTTATGGAATGAAAACAACACCCCTTTCCCTTGGCAACATAATTCTCCTAAAAGAAAAGGGGGGAATGAGAGAGTAAATTCCTAGGCAGGTTGATAAGAAGTCCGGGGTTCCCTGAGGTGGTGGAGAAAGTGGCCTGGGGTTCTCAAGGAGGAGATAGGGGTCTGGAATTCTCAAGGAGGAGGAAAGGACAAACATCTTTTTTTTTTTTTCTCTTCGTTCCTTAGTCTTAGTCACATGAAACTGTTTTTTTTCTTTAAATCTGAAACTGATGGTTACACAACAAACAACTCAGTTTAAACACTGTACTAAGCGTTATATAACAACAGTGTATCCTGCTTGAGAACAGTTTCTCCTTCCTGAAAACCTTCTGACTAATCCTGATATTTTAGAATGTATAATATGGGACTAGGTCTGGTAGGATCTTTCTATTGTTAAATTCTAATCCTGTTATCCTAAAATGTAAGTTGTGGGAGTGGGTCTGGTAAAATTTTCACAAACCTGAGACATTCTTTTGATTTATTGTAATAACCAATTAAAAAAGTGTATAACTTCCTTGCTGACACTAGTAAGGGGGGCACTCTCCATCCCCCTTCTGATGTCTATGTTAGAAATTTTCTCTATCCCTTTTTAAACTTTAATAAAATTCTGCTCTACAAAACTCTTGAGTGATCAAGCCTGGTCCCTGGTCCCGAAGTTAAATCTTCTTCAGAGACCACAAATCCAACACTGTTCACCGTAAGCTGTCATATTCATCCATCAAAATGTGAAATCAAACCACTATTGTAAACCAATCATTAACCAATTAAAAATAAATATTTAAAAAATGTGTTCATCTGAATACAGAGTATTTCAGTTTTAATTGCTCAAAAAATTGTTATCAAGGGAATAGACATAGGGAAAGAAGGGAGAGCCAAGGATGTCACTTGAAGGAAGAGAAGCCAATGGCAGGGTCAGTGGGACAGAGCGCTCCTAGCATCTGAAGTTCTGCAAGTACCCATGCAGGTACAACAGTGTGCTTAGACTTAAGAACAAATTGAAGATGACATTCAAAGTGTATTCAGCAAATTCTCCTGTCCTGACCTCAGTTGTAAACTTCATGAATATAGTCATTTGTCCCAGCAAGATAAGTGCTTAGGGAAACCAATGAAGCTTTTAAGAACATATCTTCAGTTGTATCTCAAAGAAGGAAAGAAATGAAAACAGGCTGCCTTTAGAGAATACAATGCAGTCCACTTTGCATTTTTCTAAGAAATTTTAAAAATTCAGTTAAAAGTCATTTTGAATAATTATTATTTAAATTCTACTTTTACAGTCTCATTTCACAAAACTAGGACACATTAAATGGGATGATCATTTTATCCAAGAACTTATAACTGATGGTAATTAAGTTTTATTTTTCTTTTTGCAAGCCTAAATTATTCAAATGTATGATAGAATCTCGCTTTTCTTTGTCTTATTTGAGTTGGACAGTGGTATCTCTGTGTTCTGAATCATAGGCTGTTACTCTGAAGTGGAGTTAGAAGAGCCTAGAGGCTTTTTTTCGTCTCCAAGATATCCACTGGATTATAGAGGAAAACTGGAATGTTCTTGGGTGCTCCGAGTTTCACCAAACAGTATTGCAAAACTTACGGTTGAGTATCTGTTACTCCCTGGGTCTCATATGTGTCAAGATTCAGCTCTGATTATTTATGAAGAAAACCACAGTGAGAGAAGGATGTCAGGTAAGCCTTAGGGGCATTTATATGTGTGCATTTCCTGTGTAAGCAGCTTAAGTTCAAAGGGAGAGTTAAACTTGGTAATAATACCTCTGAAATGTTGATTCATGTAATATAGGCATATTTTTATGCCTTTATGTTTAGACATGTGTAATATTTTCAAGTTTGAATTTTCAAAACAGGTATACTAAAGGTTGAGTGGGTGTGTTTGCATGTATGTGTATTTAGAAGAAAAAAAAGGCAAGTGAGCCCATCTTCAAGCATAGCAGAACCATACCAGAATGCCAGAAGTATGTATATGACCAAGGAGGGATTAAGATAATTAAAATCATGTAGGACATAGAGTGTTGAATTTTAAAATACAGGAAAATGCATTAAAGGTTTTTAAAATGGTGGAATTGAAAAGTTTGCTAATAACATACCAACTGTCATTTCATGTATGGGCAAACCTATTTTGTTTAGCAAAACAAACTTGCCAACTCTTGTTTGTGTAGGTATAATACAGGGTTTTTAGCTCTCAGTAAAGGGGAATGGCGGTAGTGGTAAAGAACCTGCCTGCCAGTGCAGGAGACATAAGAGATGTGGATTTGACCCCTGGGTCAGGAAGATCCCCTGGGAGGAGGACATGGCAATCCACTCTAGTATTCTTGCCTGGAGAATCCCTTGGACAGAGGAGCCTGGTGGGCTATAGTTCTTGGGGTCACAAAGAGTCAAACATGACTGAAGTAACAGCATGCACACAGCAGGAGGTGGGAAGGCGCTGGAAATAATTTGGTTGATGGGGACACCTGGACAGAAAAGTTTATGTTGTTACTGTGAGTGTGTGTGGTTGACACACAGATGTACATGCTTGATTCAGGAGTGTATGGAGACCAGGGAAGTGCTTTGAGGTTGAGATTGTTTTCTTTGGAAAACTTCGTAGAGATTGAATTATTGACTTAGAAGACACAACCATTTATTTAAAGATTCTTTCTTTAGAAATACTGTCTCATTTAGACTGCAGAGGAGACCATTAACTGGCCTGTCCACTGCACATTTTCCCCCTATGATCAGATCGCCTCCCCATCCCCCCTGATTGAAATGGCTTGAGGTCTCCTTGTAGCCGCGGTGAGGTCCAGAATGCATAGCATGACATTTGCCTCCCACTCCCTGAGCCCATCACACTCCGCTGTCAGGGCCCTTGTCCATCTACCTCTCCCAGCTCTTCAAAGAGCTCTTCTCCGGCCAGTCAAGTCTTGACTAGAATGTGCTTTCATTTTTTTATTTGACATTTTTAATACAATTTTAAAGATTACTTTCGATTTACAGTTGTTATAAAACAATACATCCTTGAGCCTGTCTTACACCCGAACAGTTGGTACCCCCCTCCCCCATCCCTCTTTGGCTCCTCCCCCTTCCCCACTGGTAACCACTAGTTTGTTCTCATATCTGTGAGTCTGCTTTTTTTGTTATATTAACTAGTTGTGGAGTTTTTAAAATTCCACATATAAGTGGTATCATACAAGTATTTGTCTTTGCCTAACTTATTTCACTTAGCACAATGCCCTTCAAGTCTATCCATGTTGCTGCAAATGGCAAAGTTTTGTTCTTTTTAAATGACTGAGTAGTATTCCTTTATGTGTGTGTGTATCACATCTTCTTTATCCGTTCATCTGTTAATGGATGCTTAGATGCTTCTATATTTTGGCAAGTGTAAGTAATGTGCTATGTACTTTGGGGTGCGTGTGTCTTTTTGAACTTGTGTTTTTGATTTTTTTGGATATATACCCCAGGAGTGGAATTGTTGGGTCATACGGTAGTTCCATTTTTAGTTTTTTGAGAAACCTAATACTATTTTCCACAATGGCTGTACCAATTTACATTCCCACCAACAGTGTACAAGAGTTCCCTTTTCTCCACAGAGAGCACACTTTCTTAATGAGGCCTACCTGATTGATGTGAATTGCATCACCTCCCACCTCTGTAATTCTTAATGGCCCTTCTCTTGGCATTATTGTCTTCTAACCTACGATGTTGTTTCATGTTTTCATGCCTGTGTCTTCTCTATTAACTTGAGCTTCTCAAGGACTGAAACTTGTCTCTTCATGTCAGGAATCCCGTGTTTAGAACAGTCCTGGATACACAGAAGGCATTTAGTAAATGACTGACTGAAAGGTTACCTCCTCAAATAGACATTCTAAGTCTAAAGGACCATCAACCTTTCCTTCTCATGATCTTTTTCTATTATATTCTGCTGTTATTTCATGTGTAGCAGTGGTCTCTATTTGAAATCATCTTCATTTACCTGACCAAAATGAAAGTGCCATGAGAGCAGGGATCCGGCTATTTTCTTCCCCTCCCTTATTTTCCCAAATTGAAATAATAGAGACTCAGAATATTTGTTTTGCATGAATCCATACTACTAAATTATTCAGAAAGACTTTTAGCAATAATAAGAGCCTCTTTCACCATGCCTTTAATCTGATATTATCAATTTAATAAGCACTTTTGCTTTTTTTAATCATTAATGGGGGTAATTTTTTTCCATGTATTTGTTAGCTATCTGCATTTTCTAATTCCTTGTTACTACCATTATTTTTAAATTTGAGTATTGATCATATTATTGGTTTATAAGGGCTATATATATGTGTGTGTGTGTATATATATATATATAAAATTATATAAAACAATTTTTCCTTTGTCATATATTACTTACATAAATTACAAGTACTTATTTATAAGGTTGTCATTTGCCTTTAAATTTTGTGTCTTTGTATGTTGATATAAATATTTTTAAATTTATTGATTTAAATATATTCCTATGTATTTTCATCTTTGATTTATCTCATTGCTTTTATTTTTCAAAATTAATTTCCCAACTAAGGTCAGAAATTTTTAATTAAAAAAGCTTAATCCTCCTGAAATATATTTTCTTATATGGTGCTAGTGTTGTGTTAATGTTAGTCGCTCAGTTGTGTCTGACTCTTTGAGACCCCATGGACTGCAGCCCACCAGTCTCTTCTGTCCATGCAATTCTCTAGGTAAGAATACTGGGGTGAGTACCCATTCTTTTCTCCAGGGCATCTTCCTAACCCAGGGATCAAACCCAGGTCTCCTGCATTGCAGGTAGATTCTTTATTGCTGAGAGACTAGGGAACCCCTCTCATATGGTAAAATGATCTTATGACTGATTCCTTTTTTAGAAAAAATGATTTCCTGAATTTATATATATCTTTATAATATACCAGGGCTTCTCTCATAGCTCAGTTGGTAAAGAATCCACCTGCAATGCAGGAGACCCCGCTTCGATTCCTGGGTCGGGAAGATCCACTGGAGAAGGGATAGGCTACCCGCTCCAGTATTCTTGAGCTTCCCTTGTGGCTCAGCTGGTAAAGAATCTGCCTGCAATGCGGGAGACCTGGGTTCTATCCCTGGGTTGGGAAGATCCCCTGGAGAAGGGAAAGGCTACCCACTCCAATATTCTGGCCTGGAGAATTCCATGGACTATGCAGTCCATGGGTTCGCAAAGAGTCGGACATGACTGAGCGACTTCACTTCACTTCACTTTATCACATACCAGGCTCTCGTATAGAAATAAATGATGTCTGGAAAAAACAGGATTCCCTGGTGGCTCAAGCAGTAAAGAATCTGCCTACAGTGCAGGAGCCTTGGGTTCGATCCCTGGATGGGGAAGATCCCTAGAGAAAGGAATGGCAACCCACTCCAGTATTCTTGCCTGGAAAATTCCATGGACAGAGGAGCTTGGTGGGCTGTAGTCCATGGTGTTGCAAAGAGTAGGACACGACTGAGTGACTGACACTTGCCTTTTTCATTGTTACCTACTGAAAACCATGCTTGACTTTGTTGTAGATTAACTGTGAAAACCCTATAATTTTTCAACCTAGCATTTCTTTGATTTGAAATTGTCAGCTTGAAACCTGTTAAATTGTTCTGTCCTTCAGATGATAGCTAGCAGAACTATAAGGCTATGATAGAGATATTACCTCTTACTCAAATTGAATAGTATCCTTGTACACTGAAAATGCTGTGTTTTTCCCTGTGGGAGCCAGCAACTGTTCAAAAGCTGCATTCATTTCTATTTGCTACAAATAAATATTGGCTCATCCTTCAGATAGTATTCCAGCATCATATACTCTAATGTATTATGCCAACTAATGATTTTTTTCTTCCTCTAAGTAATCTTTTCCCTTCCTTACTGCCTACAAATATATGTGGAGCACCTACTATGGGTCAAGGATTGACTTTTCTTGGTTGTGGGCATCCAATAGTGAACAAAATGGACAAAAAAATCCCTGCCCTTACCACCATATATTCTAGGAGGAAGAGGACACATGATATGATAAAATATATAATACATTAGACAGAGGACTAAGGGAAAATGAGGTGGGAAGGGAGAGAAAAAACATATGGGATTACAGATGCCATAGAATTGGGTGCAGAATAACCAGCTATCTGAGCAGATGACATTTAAATAATTATTACAGAAAGACACTGAATTATTCTTAATAGTAGGTGAGTTTGATTCTAAGAAACTCATGGGTTCTTTTTATACCTTCTTAATCAGCCCTCTGAATCATTGTAGAATTATGGTTATAGTTTTACATTCTCTTTGATTTAGGTTCTCAAAGTAAAGCAATCAAAAGAAGATTGGCTGTAGGGAAAGAATAAATTTTCAGGTAGAAAAAGTTTCCATCATGGATTTTCGCAGTGATGTATTTTTAATAAATAGGTTATTTTCCTAGGAGAGAAATGGCATATCAGCCTTATATTAAAGATAAAATAACTTGCTACCTACTGTCCTTCATGGGAGCAATGGGACATAGCAGACTGTAACAGGTATTGAATTTTGGGACCTAGGTTCTTCTCCTGACTCCCAACCCCCTAGTCCATGACTTTGGGTCAGTCATTTGAATTCTAGAATGCTGTTCCTCACTTTGCAGAGCAGAGTTTAGTTACCATGCCTAGACTAGAGAAAGTTTTTAAAATGTTTTTGTTTTTTATCAAATTTGATTTTTTTTAACCTAGGTAAATTATGTGGAAGAAGGCTTTATCCAATGGTTTTCATGAGCTCTGGACCACTGGTGAGGGTGACATTTCATTCCAGTGTGCGAGGTGCTTTTGGCATAAATTATATTGTCTTTAGAGTCCAAGGTATGTTCTAACTTATAAAGTTAAAACTAGCATTAAAACATGTATGTTATCATATGTGAAATAGATAACCAGTGCAAGTCTGATGCATGAGGCGGGCACCCAAAGTCAGTGCTCTGAGACAACCCAGAGGGATGGGATGGGGAGGGAGGTGGGAGGGGGTCTTCAGGATGGGGGACACATGTACACCCGTGGCTGATTCATGTCAATGTATGGCAGAAACCACCACAATATTGTGAAGTAATTAGCCTCCAATTAAAATAAATAAATTAACTTAAGTTAAAATACTCCATGTTTTTCTTTTTAGGGATATTTCAAAACTTATACACTGTTTTGTAAGAAAAGTTATGTTTCTGTGGGGAATGAGTTTATGTTTGAAGGGAAAATCTTTTTAAATGATCTGATATTGGTCTGATCCAAGAGAAAAACTACTTAGTGAATAACTTGACTGACTTGTCCATCATTCAGAATTGTGACTCATGGACATGGCGATATGATATATTAATTGCAAAGTAGTATTAATATTTTTATCATGATTGTGATTTTATACCACAGTTAGCCTTTCCTACAACCATTATCCTTGTGGATTGAAAGATCTGGGTTCTAAATCTTAGCTGGCTGATTAGCTCTGGACAATTTTTTATCTCTATTGGAGTTTCCTTTATAGTGATATTATAAAAATAAAAGGTTAGAATGAGTTTTGAGGACAAGCTAAATAAATAGTAGAGGCTGATATTATAAATGTAAACTGTATGCAAATCAGAGTTATTACATTTTCAGACATGTAATTAGTGCGATTTTTGACTCTTGACGAGTACAGGTAACCAAAAGCTAGTTTCTCTCCTTGGCACTGAAAAGCGTTGCAGAGATATACCTGGAAAAAAGTTAAGTGAGAAATAAAAAGAAAAGCATGTATATCATGGAATTTGTTTTCCTAAAGAACTATAGTATAAATATTGCTTTAACAATATCATATGATATCATTTGTATGTGGAATCTAAACTATGATACAAATGAACTTATAAAACAGAAACAGACTGACAGACATGAAAAAACAAGCTTATGGTTACCAAAGGGGAGATGGGGTGGGGGAAGGAAAAGTTAGGAGTTTGGGATTAGCAGATACAAACTATTATATATAAAACAGATAAACAGCAAGACCCTACTGTATTGCATAGGGGAATATATTCGGTATCCTGTGATAAACATTAATGGGAAAAAATGTGTGTGTGTGTATATATATGTGTATATATATATGTGTGTGTGTGTGTGTGTATATATATATATATATGTATAATTGAATCACTTTGCTGTATACCAGCCACTAACACAGCATTGTAAATCAGCTATAGTTGAATTAAAATTTTTTTAAAAGTATTGCTTTTAATGGACTTGTGTAGGGAACCTGCATCATCTACAGTTATTCCTCTTTATCTCCCACAGACCCTCGGCTGTGCCAAATATAATTTGAGAGAGGTTCTGGTTTTCTGTAACCTTTGAGTATTTCAGATAGAAAAATTTTACTGAAACTAACCACCTCCTGTTAACTTTTTCTAAAACGGAGGAAAACTGACAGCTCTGATCTGAAAAGGCATATAACAAGCCTCTTAAAAATTAGTTTTACCTCATTTTTTTTCTGCTTCATTTCTAGGTCCAAAGGGCAGTAAAAGCACCCAGTCTCTTCAGAGTTCAAACCAAGAGCATGTGGCCACCTGTGAGGATGTTATTCTGACCAAACCAACAGGGATCATACAATTCCCGAGATATTTTCACAGAACCCCTATGAGGTGAGGAAGGAATTTTTATTAGTGAAAGTTTTTCAATGATCACTTGACAAGCAGCATTTGTTATCTCTTTAAGGAATTATTTTTCACCTGGTTTCCTTAAAGAATGGACTTTGAGACAATCCTTGATTTGAGGTCTTCCGTATACAGAACCTGAATGTGAGATTACCCCTGCTGATAAACTGTACTTTCTCAATAAGAGAGATCACTTGTTAGGTAAAGTGAAAAGCTGAATCTCTATCAAAGAGCTTTGGAGATTGAAATAATGTATGTAAAACCTTCTGGCACATAGTAGTACTCAATAAGTGGTTCATATAATCCCACGGTAAAAAGAGAACTTTCCCTAAATTAAACATTAGAATAAACTTAAAGTGAGAAATAAAAGTGGAGATTTATATAGTATCAATCCTAACTAACTGTGTATGATTTGGGGGAGTTTAGGGCAAATTGACACAGGAATACTTTATTAACTCTTATAGATTGCCAATCAGAATTTAGAATAATACATGTGCTTGACCAGCCATTCACATAATGGGTGAACTTGGTTAAAACTTTTGACAAATTCAAAAGTATTAGAGAATATTTTCACTGTTATAATTTAAAATTTTCTTTCACCTAAGCACTAAAGAAGCAGGTACAGTCAATAACAGTAACTCACTGAGTGATGCATTAAATTCTGAACAAAGTAAATAACAATATATGCTGCTGAGAAATCGTTTCTTTCTTTCATTGCACTGTAGCTGCCACTGGAGATTACTAGCCCCTGTAAATCATATCATTCGCCTTGATATTATCAACTTCCAGAAGCAACCAGTGCCCTTTGCCTGTCAGGGTCACCTGTGGATTTATGAAGGATTTGGATCAGGAAAAAAATTAATAGGTAACCAATTTCCCATGAAGAACTATGCTATTGATTTTCTTTTTAAAAATATTCTTAGATCATTTTATATTCAGTGTGTGAATTACAGATGACATAAATTACTCTCTTCTTAAATGTGATATTGAAATAGCCTGTTGCTGTTACTACTTTTTATATTTGTAATTGAAATTAACCTAATACTCTGATTAATTAAAAAATGAAACTATGTGCTGTTTACTTGGGTCATACCTAGATGAAACTTGGCCAGAAATACTAAAAATAAAGGATGAGTAAACAGTCTCAGATAAATACAGCACAAGAAAATGAGAGTATAATATTATCAGGCAAAATAATATTCACAGGGAAGGCATTAAATGGCCTTATTAATTAGATAGTAGTCAAAAACCTGATTACAGTGACTTAAATTTGTTATTGTGAAAGAAAGAGAAATGCCGAGGCATGCAGATGCGCCACCAACTCAGTAGTTCAACTCTGTGAAGACTGGAATTATTGCAGTTCTCTTGGCCTTTTCCTAGTGGTTCCATAATGGCTATTTCAGTTGTGGCCATTGCAATGGAGAGAAAAGAAGAAAGGGCCCAGGGAAGGGTTATGACTGTGGAGAAAGCAAATACATCTCCAGGAATCCTGTAGCCGATTTAAGTCACTTTGGCCAGATTTTTCACGTGGCCACACCTGACTGAGAGTGAGATGACTAGAGAAAAGGGAAATGGAAACAAAGTTTGGGCTGGCTGACCAAAGTTGCTCAATTAGATAGGATATAGCAGCCTAGGGTTCTGGAATCTGATGATCCTGGGTCCAATAGATTGCACTTCTACCAGTTGGTAATTCAGTGACTTTGGGAATACTTCTGAAGCCTTCTCAATTAGTCACTGGCCTCACTGGTAACGTGAAGATAACTACCTGTAACTTTTCATATGATTTAAGCGAGAAGACAGCATCACTAGCACACACATGTATATGGGTATTATAAATTCCCAATGTGCTTAAGTCAGAGATGTAGATGCCTAATGTAACAAGGTGACTCCCAGAGAGAGAGGAAGTACAGCATTTTGCTGGCCTTTGTCTCTCTAGGAAGGACCCAGATGTCAGTGTCCCTCTCCACGTTGGTAGAGTCTGCCAGAGTTGATAAAACAGCCAGTTGCTAAACCACTGTTCTTTTATTCTGTAGGCTTACATTAACATCCCAGAAATAGGTGCACTGACAATCTTTGTGTTTCTACTTAAGGGAATATTAGTAAACATGGAGCTTTTACATAACATCAGAAGGGCATAGATTTCTGTGGGGAGAGTGCAGCGTCTAGGCTAGTATCTTTGGAAATTATCTACGCTTCTTGCTTTCTTGCCTTACAGAATACCTGTAACTTGTACTGCTTCATGAGGATACTTTGATAATTAAATAACAGAGTGCATGTTAATCAATATAAAAGAAACCAAGCAGCTGCTGTGTTTGAATTAGAATTGCACCTCTAAATTTGTATTTTTAAAATTGTGCTGCTTAGAAGAAAAGATTAGGCTATTATTTCCCTATTGTCCCTCCATCAACAGAGAGTTGAAAAACACAAGATTTGAAAGAACAAAGAAATACAGAAAAAGGGAAAAGATTGCATTAGCTATGTCAGTGATAATTTATAATAATAATGAACTGTATCTCTGTTGTTCTTATAATTTGTTCTTCACTTAGAATTTGTTCATAGAATATATGTATTATTTCCGATCTTCTTCCACAAAAAGTTTTTTGACTCTTTCAATTTTTGCAAAGAACACAGCCTCTAGGGGTTAACTCAATTTTTGAGGTCAATTAGGTTATTGAATGAATATTTTAAACATAATCAAAAATGCTATATCCCCAGAATGCACAAATAGTTTAATATTGAAAATGTATTATCTAAAAACTAGGTCAAATTAGGAAAAATAAATATGAACCAATGATAAAATAATCATATCCTTAAAACCATCCCAGTAAAAATTAGGTAAAAGTAATAATGTAAAAACGACTTCGGTTATAATTAGTCACAAAAACCATGTAGCTAGGAATAACCTTGAAATGTGAGTTTTATTGCACAAATATGAAATTTGCACATGCATGCACATGTGCGCACACGCATGCACACACACACACACATCTGAATAGAGAAAAGTACCATGTTCTAAAACTGGAAGACAAAATTAACATTAATCCACCCCAAATTAATTTAGAAATATAGCAAAATCCCAATGGTAATTGTCTTTGGAGAGCAAGGAGGAAATTGATCGTAACTCTAAAGTTTATCCTTTAATAGAACTAGCTGAGAATGTTTTGGGGGAAAAAATGACCAGATGATGAGGTGACTTATCAATATAAAAATGTGTTTTGAGGTAGCCATAATTTAAACAGAGTAGTACTGGTACAAAAAGAGACACACATGATAGACCAGAGGGGGCCCAAGAAACTGTAAGGCATTTAAATGTGATAAATTTGGCATTGCAGATCAGGGAGGAAAACATATATTATATTCTCCATCACCTCATAGAACAGTTGAGTAGAGGGCTAAGCATTTTTCTTAAGGCATTAAAAGTTTAAAAAATAAGCAATTATCTTAGTTATGGATGGAGAAGGATTCTCATATAAAAACAGTTGAAGACAACAGGAAATTATCAATAAATTCCTATGTAACTAAAAACTTTCTTCAACAGAAACAAAATTTAAAAACAAGTAACAAATCGAGAATTTTCAACAACTCTGAGAAAGGTTTAAGGTAATTAATATAGGGAATGTGTATAAATCAGTATTAGAAAAGCCCAAATCTTTAAAAAAAAAAAAAAATTATAACGGCCCAAATATGTTTGATTTAGCATTGAAAAAATGTTAGGTTAAAACCAGAGTTCCCAAAGCTTTTGAGTCTTTTGTTCATTTTCCTGAAGAATTATGAACTATTGACCCAAGTGATTTTGAAAACGCAAAAGCACTGGATTAACCTTTAACCTCTTTTGATCAATAAGGAAAGTTAATGAATATTTATATATCAGTTACTATACAATCTAAATTAAATCTCTCTTTATTTTGTTTCTGTCACAATGAGGTTAATCCTCTGGCCATCCATTTACTAAGAAGGGCAGTTTTCTTATAATAGTGACAAGTTTAATAGTTCTAAAATTGTTGACTTGAAACTATGTGTCCATAGCAAACTACCTTTGTTAGAGTGTTTGTTTCAGAGAATACTATGTATGATCAGTTAAACTTAGAAATGGTTTGTCACAGGAAGCAGACTTGTATAATCAACCCTATAGTAATTAACCGTGACTCAACAATTATAAAACACAGGTGCATTCTTTTAGAATTAAGAGGATCCCTAATACAAAACAATTTAAAAATAGTACAATAAATAATAGTTTAACCAGCTGATTTTAAAATACAATTCAGAATTACTGTTTTCCTAGGGTGGTTCCATGGTAAAGAATCTACCTGCCAAGCAGGAGACGTGGATTCGATCCCTGGGGTCAGGAAGATCCCCTGGAGAAGGAAATGGCAACTCACTCCAGTATTCTTTTTAATTTTTTTTATTTTTTCTTTTTAACATTTTTTTTCATTTATTTTTATTAGTTGGAGGCTAATTACTTTACAATATTGTAGTGGTTTTTGTCATACATTGAAATGAATCAGCCATGGATATACATGTATTCCCCATCCCGGTCCCCCCTCCCACCTCCCTCTCCACCTGATCCCTTTGGGTCTTCCCAGTGCACCAGGCCCGAGCACTTGTCTCATGCATCCAACCTGGGCTGGTGATCTGTTTCACCCTAGATAATATACATGTTTCAATGCTGTTCTCTTGAAACATCCCACCCTCGCCTTCTCCCACAGAGTCCAAAAGTCTGTTCTATACATCTGTGTCTCTTTTTCTGTTTTGCATATAGGGTTATTGTTACCATCTTTCTAAAGTCCATATATATGTGTTAGTATACTGTAATGGTCTTTATCTTTCTGGCTTACTTCACTCTGTATGATGGGCTCCAGTTTCATCCATCTCATTAGAACAGATTCAAATGAATTCTTTTTAATGGCTGTCACTCCAGTATTCTTGCCTGGGAGATCCCATGGATGGAGGAGCCTGATGGGCTCCAGCCCAGGGGGTCACAAAGAGTCGGACACGCCTGAGTGTCTAAGCAGCAGCACCACAGTAATATCAACACGGGCAAGTGATCTGAAGGAGCCGTTAATAGACAAGTACATGTGAGAAAAAAATACCTAGCCTCTTTAAAACATAAATGAAAAAAAAAAATGTACTTACTTAACTGACAAAAATATTTGAAGAATGATTATACTTAGTAAATAAAATGCAGTGTAACAGACATTTTCATGTCGTTGTTTAGGTGTAATACATAGTTTCTTTCTGGAGCAAGATAGAGAAATGTTTTTCAAAAGTGATAAATCTATAACCTTTCATTCAGTGTTTCTATTTTTATCCATACTTTTAAGAAATACACTTTACATTTATGTACAAGATATTCATTCAGCTAGTGTTATTTATGATAATGGCAAAAAAAAAAAAAGGATCGAAATAGGAAATTAGTTGAGAAAAGTATAGCAAATCCATAGGATAAAATGTTATACCACCACTAAATGAAATATTTTCACCTAACTTTTTTAGAAGACAGGAAAATCCTATTGTAATATTAAGAGAGAAGATTGGACTGAAAAAAATTACATAGTATATTTTAATTTTTTTAAAAAAGCACTGTATGACTAAAGTAAAGGTCTAATAGACACCATTAGGTGTCATTTTCAAGGCTGTCCCTGAATCCTTGAGGAAGTTAGCCCAGGTTTATTGTCAGGTTTCTTTTGTTTCTGGGCCTGTCCACTCAAGGACAAAAAGGAATTGATTTCCTGGGCAAAGGGCATGCAGAAAAAAACATCCTTTGGTCTTGCCTGATAGCTCAGTTGATAAAGAATCTGCCTGCAATGCAGGAGACCCCAGTTCGATTCCTGGGTTGCGAAGAATCCCTGGAGAAGGGGAAGTCTA